AACCCCAGGGGACCAGGGGTTCACAAGACCTTTACAGGGAAAAGAGGCTCCACTGGGCCTCAGGCTATTCAATCCCAGCATCTCTGCTTCATCATCACCTTTTTTTTAAAACTGAATTTTAAAGAGGGAGGAAGGGAGAGGGGGAGAGAGAGAAACATCAGTGTGAAAGGGAAACACGCTGGGCTGCCTCCCGCACGCCCCCTTCTGGAGCCTGCAGTCTGCGCATGTGCTGTGACTGGGAATCGAACCCGTGACCTCGTGGTCCATGGGTGGATGCTCAGCCACTGAGCCACACTGGCTGGGCGATATTTCAATGAACATCTACCATTATAAAAATTATTATTATTTTTTAAAATTAATTAATTTATTTTTGTTACAGATGCCCCCCCCCCAGTGATTCCCCCTCCCCGACCCGTCCCCAGCTTTGTTGTCCATGTCCATTGTTCATGCACACATGCATATAAGTTCTGTGGTTTATCTCTCCCCCACCCTCCCTCTTCTGGGGACTGTCAGTCTGTATCCCACTTCCACGTCTCTGGGACTATCCCATTCCTCAGACTGTTATGTTCATTCTATTCCACAAATAAGTGACATCATATGATACTTGTCTTTCTCTGTTTGGCTTGTTTGCTTAGGATAATACTTTCCAGGTCCCTCCATGTAGTCTCAAAGGATAAGAGATCTTTCTTTCTTACAGCTGCATAGTACTTCATTGTGTATATGTACCACCGCTTTTTTATTCATTCGTCTACTGATGGACATTTGGGCTGTTTCCAGATCTTAGCTATTGTAAATAGTGCTGCTACAAACATGGGGGTACATATATTCTTTCTGATTGGTGTTTCAGGCTTCTTAGGGTATATTCCTAGAAGTGGGATCACTGGGTCAAATGGAAGTTCAATTTTTAACTTTTTGAGGTAACACCATATTGTTTTCCATAGTGGCTGCACCAGTCTGCATTCCCACCAGCAGTGTATTAGAGTCCCCTTTTCTCCACACCCTCGCCAACACTTGTTGTTTGATGATTTGTTGATGGCGGCCATTCTGACAGGCGTGAGGTGATACCTCACTGTTGTTTTGATTTGCATCTCTCTGATGATTAGTGATGTTATAAAAATTATTTGAATACTCAAAATGTAGGGAAGATATGACTTGAGAAGAGAAAACCCTTCCCATGAAAGGATACTCTGGCTGGTGCTATTTTTGTTTACTTGGTGGTAGGTGGATGACCCCGCCTGGCCCGGCCCTGGCGATGTTCTAGGCGCCTCCTTGGTTTGTTAGCTGCTGCCTTGTCAGCGGTACCCGTGGCGCCACTGAAATACCAGCTGATTAGCTGGCCACTGTCTTACTCCAAGGGGTACACTAACACGGGGATGTCCCCATCCAGCCTTGCTTCCATGGACATTTACAGTGTCCCCCGTGAGACAGGGGCAGGCCATGTCAGAGCTGTGTCCACTCTGCCTGACAAAGGACGTGCATTTTCCATCAAGTTCAGACAACCAAGCTCCATGTCTGGGCATTTCCCAACCATATGGGGCCAGAGCAAGGACAGCGATGTCACCAGGCATGGGTGGGAGCCAGGCCACTGGTGCTGAGAACCAGCTAGTGAGTGGACACATTTAAAGCATGTCTAGTAAGGCTGAAATATGGAATATATTTTCGAATCCAATATTCTCATGTTAAAATGTTTAGATAATACCTTTAAAGAAATTAGAATATAATAAAGCTGAGAAACAACTTTGAGTGGTCTCGTCTTTAGCAGAATATAAATGAATCCATCATTTTTATCGATGCAACTAAAACATGTCCATCCACGGAACTGGAAGAAGCTCTGTGGAGGACATCAGAAAAGGACTGGACTTAGAATTGGCCAACTGGGGCTTGAAGGCCGCTCTGCGACCTGTGGACGGTGGGACAGCCACCGGAGAAGCACGCCGTTCAGTGCCCAACACGGGACTCTGCAGGCGCACTGACTGGGTCTCTATAGTGGCTCCGTAACCAACACCACTCCCCTTCCGGAGTCTGTTTCCTTAGTCGGCACGTGGCTGGTAGGACCACATGTCGTGGTGGGCCTCCAATCACACACTCTGCAAAGAGCTTATAGACAAAACAGTATGAAGAGAGCTTGCATTTGTCCACTGAACAGGAAGGGTCTGGATATGGGGTGGCCTTGGCCGTGGCCAGGACGCCGACGGGGTCCACATCTCTCTCCATTCTTCGATGCACACCAGCAGGACCCCCCACAGGCTCAGGAGCCCAGCCCAGCCCAGCCCAGCCCACCCTTACAGTCTTTGGTCAGTGAGCCATGAACAAACCATACACAGAGAGAAGCTTCTTTTTTCCTTCAATTTAATTGAAGTTACTTAGAAAAATAATCAGGCTTGAATGGCTTTCCCTGGAGGAAGGTTCACAAACATTTCACTCTTTTGTTGGCAATGTGGAATTCAGCTTTCTCGAACAGGACAGTAAGGTACAGGGAGAATTTTCTACAAGCCCTCTACTGCATACAAATATGTAAAAAAAATCACACTCCATGGAGATGTTAAATTATACGTCCATATGCCGTACTGAGCATGCTCACAAGAAAGCAGTACAGGCAGCCCCTTCCGTACCTGACAGAGTAGCCGACTGAAATGCGCCTGTTAACGGCCAACAGTCAAACTGCTTGTAGAAGGTCCTGTTGCCTGTACATAGGGTCCAGTTGGTCGTGATGGGAAAGGCTGGAGGAAATGCTGGTTGTAGGAATTGGGGGAGCGATGAGGTCAGTCCTGCTGACATAGGAATGAGCAAGGAAGGGGTTCTGCTCCCCAGGATTGCACAGGATGGGGTGTGTGTGTGTGTGTGTGTGTAGGGAAGAACTGGGCTGAGAGATATGCTCTAAGCATCATCCACCCGGGACAGAGCCCCTCGGCTTCTTGCCAGGTCAGAACAGGGACATTTGTGACCACTGCCTCAGCACTGGTCCAGACCCCGCCAGCCAAGTGCACGAGGGACGCCGTTGTTATGGGAACTTCCTACCAGCAGGACTCAGACCCTTGTGCCTCTGGGGCGTCGCCACCAGGAGGACTGGTCCGACTGAAGATTCCACTGCCCACTGCTCTCCTGTGCCACCCAGACCCTGGGCAAGCAGAATGGTGAAGCTCAGCTGGCAGACAGGTAGGAAGGAAGGTCCCCTCTGAGACCCCACAGGTCGCAGACTGCCTTTCTTCCCGGACCGGCCGGGGAGGCAGAGGCGGCGGGGAAGGGAGGGGGGTCCAGCCAAGCTGCAGGGATTCTAATGCTGTGGCTAAAGTCTAGAGTTTTCCACTCATAGGGATAAGGAATGTCCTTGCAAGTACTCCCCTGACCGTACCTGGTTCTGAAAACACAGCAGCACCCCTGAAAAGTGGCTCGGAGTGGGCCACCTGGCTGTACTTTTCTCCAGCGAAGCATGCGATAAAGAGCATTTTCAAACAGTTTCTTAAAAAACACACACACACACACACACAAACAACCACAAACTTCTGTTTTCCAGGCACATTTTCACCCATGAATTCTTTTTAACCAAGGACACAGGATACTTTCTACATTCTGCAAAACAGTTGAATCAATTATAGAAAAAATGTATACCATTAGAAAAGAAACTATGAATACAAAACAAAACATGAGGCCAAAGTGCGCCTCGCTGCAGAACCACACTGACGTGTCGTCCCTCGAAGGACAACCTTTCTCACTTTAGAGAGAGAAACAGATGGAAGAAGGCCGTCGGCACAGAGCGCGGCGCTTGCTCGCGTAGCCGATCAAAGATGGACGTGGAAATGCAAAACTCAGGAAATCTAAGTGACTTTCCATTTCAAAACCAAAAAGCACACAGTGAACATTCCAACCTATGGGACCTGAAGAAGCACCCGTCAAGGGTTGAGCTCACTCTGCTTGTGCTGAGCAACCTAAGGCTTGAGGCATAGGGGGGCCACTGTGGCCTTATGCCCCCCTCCCTTCTGTCCACACCACTCAACTTTCCTCCGCTCAGTTTGGGAGGAATGGAATTGTTGCCCATGGTAGAATCCAGGATTAAAACCATTGAATGTAAGTAAAAGTTGAATTCATTTGATAAAGTACCTCTGTTGCTTAGACACTGTGGTGCTGTTTTTCTCTTTTTGTTTGGTTTTGGTTTTGGCGTTTGGAGAGGGGGTAACAGAAGCAGTTTTTATCCTTGAAGACCTCGGATGGGCTAAATAAACCTAACCAACGTATACTCTGTGGAACACGAGCTCTGTGAGATGATCTGCAAAATAGAGTATTCTGGTCATGTAAGTCAGGAAATGCTACCAACTCAGGATGCTTTTGGGGATTCACAATGCACAACACACATTCAGGGCTCTGACAAGTCCTGCAGAAAGGAAACCGCCTGCACTTTGTTTGCCAAGGATATGTGACCGCAAAACTCTTCTTTTGCATCACACCAACTTGACATCCCCTAGAACCTGTGTTCTGTAGAGCACGTATTTTAACATGCTGGACAACCTGTTTTATCAGCAGAAGCCCTATCTCGGAGGATATTCCTCTGCCTGGAAATAGGGTCCAGACCCCCAATTCCAGGACAGCTGAAGACTGTCACTCTACTTCGTAAAACATGTTGCGCAAATCTCTCCCCATCAAGGGCAGAGTCGCTGCGCCCTTCCTTCGCGGAGAGCTCGGAAGCAGGGACACGGCGTTTATAAACTGCTCAGGCCACCGTCTCCGGGGCACACCTCACTCCTCCAGGAAAATACTTCTCCCGGAGAGAGGTGGCAGCTGCTGCCTGCCAAGCTGGCTCTGAGCCTCACCAGACAATGTTCAGTTTCTGTGAATAAATTATTCATATTTTGTTTTTGTTTTTTTCAGAATAGTCTTCTCACCCCTTGGCTATATACTGCATCAAATAAAACAAAACAAAAAGCAAAACTTACCCATACCCCATCCCACCCCAGCCCCTATTATTAGAACTATTATTATTATTATTATTACTATATACAGTATCTGCTACCAACTCATTCACTAGCTGCAAGAGGGATGTGGCTCAAACTTCAACCGAGGCATGGGGAGTGGCTGGAAGTGGGGAGCGTGTGCAGGTGTCAGTCAGCAAACAGGAAGCGGATGTGTGCAGCCTTCCAGAGGAAGGGGCGTGAACTACCATCACGGAAGGCGGTCCTTGCTGCTCATGCATGGTGGTCCCCAAGGTGCCCATGGCCTCAGCCTTGGGAGGACTTGAGAGCAGGTACACGTGTGCACCGAGAGTCCACCCCTGACCTTGGTGAGGGGTAGAAATGCCAGACCACTGCAAATCCCCGAGTGCAGGAAGCCTGCCACGGTATTACGTGGCAAGAGTAGAAAAACAACACTTCTGTGTGGAGACGTGGCTGCTGGGCTGGAGATGACAGGACGCAGCAATGGGAGCAGCTCAAGTTCCCCTCCCCTCACCCAAAGCAGACATCATTAATCAATCACAGCACCCTTCCAGGCTGTGCCTGGTAAATCTGTTCTAGGGCTTAAAGGCAGACATTACCAATAAATTAGAGCAGGTACATGATAGGAAACATTTTTGTCATCTTTTGTGTTGGGTACTGAGCTTGGATTACTTACCAAGGCCAGTGGCCTGCTCCAAGCATGTGTTTTCAGATTTGGGTCACAGAAAAATGCAAATTTATAGGGGTCATGGACCTGCTTATGAACAGTCCAAAACTCATGTTCAATCCAAATTATTGGGGGTTTGCTAATTGTCAGGCTGGATACTCTGTCCATGTAAAGCTTCCTCAGGGCTGAGACTCCTGGTTTTGTTCAATGCTCTATCTACAGGGCCTAGAATGAGGCGCAGCACATAGTAGTTGCTTGATAAATACTTGCTGACTATAAAGCAAGGGTCACTTCCCTTCATCACGACTGGCACTGCCAGTTACAAATTTCTTTAGAAAAGCCTATTCTATCAGACTACTAATTCTGGTGGGGGAAATAAAGCAAGAGTCAGCTCCCTCCTTGGGTTTAAAAAACACATCACATTTCTTTAGAGCAAGGGACTTTCGGGTTGGTTGAAAATCGGTCTGGAATTAGTCCCTTGCGAAGGTGCCTCTTTCCATTTCCTTCTCGCAGAATTTCAAGCATGGTGGCATCAATACACATCACAATGGCCACTATCACACAGTGAGTCTGAGCCGTGAGGGAGACCATTCATGCCCCCAAATGAAACATAGATTTCTCATGCTGCCGCAAAAAGAAATCTATGAGAGACTGTGTTTAAATAACTATAAATAATATTAATTAGAATTTATGGAATGCACAATTCGTGGAATTCACCAGAACACAAGGAAACCTTTGAAGACAGTGTTGCAGTATTCATGTCTAAAAACAGGGACCCCCCCCCATTCCCCTGCAAAGACAGCTGTCCTTCCCTACTAAGGATTTTAAATAATTCTCACTATGCTGCTCGCAGCATCATCCCCGAAGAAATATTAATTTACAAAATAACCCAATATTCATATAATTCTTTTGACAAATAAAAATCTTAAATTAAAAAGCACGATTCTCTCCCTCGCCCCCACCCCCACCCCCGACCCCCACTGCCCCTTTATTCCAATTTCAGGTAGCTTGGCACTGAGTAATTGAACATTAAAAAATCGAGTTTGTAGACTTCGTAGAGCTGCGTCTGGTGCTCCGAGCTGATGTTCTGGAAGAACTCCGTGGTCATTTCGTCAGTAGTTCTTGTGGACTTGGCGTAGGTGGGGAACTTCAGGTAGCTGCCCACCCCGGCCAGCTGCAGCACGTAGTTGGAATCCTCCTCCAGCGTCTCGTACTTGCCCACGAGGTCGTAGTGGATGTGGCACGGGTGGCAGAGGGAGTGGACGGTCTGCCAGTGCTCGTTGAAGGGCTCCTCGCGCTGCGTGTGCGGGTCGATGAGATAGGCCACGAACTCCTCGAAGCGCACGTCGCCGCCGCGGCGCAGCGCCTCCTGCGTGGCGTTCTTGCGCTGGCGCCGGATGATCTTGGTGCCGTAGCGCTTGTGGAAGGACGTGTTGTACTTCTGCGTGAACTTGTTGCGGTAGGCCGACACCAGCCGCTCGAAGGGCTCGCGCACGAACAGGAACTTCAGGTAGCTCTTCAGGCGGTGGTTGATCTCGGGGATGCTGTACTGGTTCAGGGTCTTCAGGTTGGCCGCCACGTGCGCCTCGTTGGCCGGGATCTCCATGGGGTCGCTGTACTTGCCCCGCCCGCTCAGGACCATCATGAGCCGCTTCCAGTTGGTGCAGGCCACCTTGGGCACGTAGCAGTAGATGAGCTCGTGGTCCTCGTCCACCACCAGGTGCTTCAGGTCGTTGGGCGTCAGCACCCGCCGCTTGCGGCTCAGGGCGCTGTTGGCCCGGCAGGTGTCTGTGACCTGGTCCCGCCTCATCTGGTGCAGGACCGCGGTGTTGGAGAGCTCGAGCTGCAGAGGGGACACAGAGGAAGGAGAATTCAATCCCTGTGTGGGCCATTTCCCCTGCGCCACCCATAACCATGATGGCCAAAGCGGGCCACTAGGACGGCCAACGGACCACGAGGTGGCCCAGGTCTCCATTTCTTTTTTTCTTAAATCCTCACCCGAGGACATTTTTTGTTCAGATAGAGTGGGAGGGAGAGAGGAAGAGAGAGAAACATCGATGTGAAAGGGACACATCGAGTGGCTGCCAGACACACGACCCAACCAGGGCCGGGCACAAACTGCAATCGAGGTACATGCCCTTAGTGGGAACGGAACCCTAGATCTCTCTGGACCGCAGGCCGACACTCTAACCGCTGAGCCAAACCTGCCAGGGCAGGTCTCCATTTCTTATTCTCCCTCAGCTACCTTTGTTCTTTGGTCCACCACCCTCCCTTTGAGGAATAATATAACAGTCAACTCTATAACTTACCCCTCATCCTCTATGTGCCTGGCATTTTACTATATATACTCCCCCCCCACACACACACACACAGGACAATACATTTGAATGGTTGTTGGTTTATTTAACATTACCAAGTGCCTGCCATTGTGCCAGCCAATATGCTGCCAGGCACTGGGGATGTAGTAACAAAACAGTACAATGAGGTAACTGCCTTATGGAGCTTCCAGTCTAGCTGGGAAGAAACAGGACGGCGAGGCTCAGAGAGGTTAAGTTACTAGCGTGAGATCACATAGTGAACAGCAGTCAGTATTCAACTCAGGTCTGCCTAGAAAACAAAGCTGCCCACTGCCCACTCCACCCCGAGGTCCAGCACTCTATCTTGTTCCATGAAGTAGAAAGCAAGAACGGAGGTCTGGCATTTGGTCACTCTGTTTTAATGCAGGATGAACCATTTTTTTCTACAAGCTCGTCCTTGTGAACATCTGTTGCTTTTTACTTCCTCTGGTACCAATGTCTGTATTTTTCTCTGAGAACCTGTTCCCCATTCTCAGGTCCCTTTTCTCTCAAGCTGCTGAGCGGTGAGGATGGCGCCTGGAGCTTGGGGACAGGGAGGAGCTAGACTGGGAAAAGGTACAGAACAGAAAGACAGAGGGATGTATTCCGGTGACATCATCTAAATACTAGATCCCCAACTCCTGGGCTTTTGTTACATTAGTTAATGTATTTGCTTTGGTGAATAAGACAGTTTGAGTCTGGATTATATTCTTTGCCACCAAAATATTTGGGTATTTGCATGTGTTAGCTTTTCGTCTCTGGCATATCCATCCATCCATTCAAGCATGTGCAGATCTCACAGTGTACAAGGCACTGTATTCTGGGAGATACCCCCTTTTCCTAAAAGGCTCACAGTCTAGGAGGCACCAGGCCAGGGAGCCTGCAGCCTCAGAAGATGTGTGTGCTCCTCTAAATGCTCGGCGCAGAAGTTTCCCCCAAAGGCTGTTCACTTCCAGTCGGAACCAGTTCTCACAAACCACCCAGAGTAGGAAACAGGAGACCACACCTCCTTGACGAGCCTGCATCTCAGTCTCCAACACCCAGAGACTTGCATGGGGTAGTGGCACCCTAGGCCAGCCCCCCGCCACCAGGTCACGGAATTCAATCAATATTTATCTTGAATAGGAAAACTCTGACTTTTGCATTTCCTGGCTTCTTAGCAGATGTCTCTATCACCTCAAGAAGAACATTCGTACCATTTAAAACAACAACAAACTGTCCTAAAGGAAACAGAAGGACCAGGAAGGAAAAGGGGCCCATCAATTTTGTCCGTTCGAATCGCTATGGACAGTTTTGAAGGCAATAAATTACTAAGTGAGCAGAGAAACAAGGGACCCCTCCGCCCCCGCCTTTGTCCCAGCTCTTTTCAGACGGAGACAATCCCCTGGCCGTCTGAATCCCCAGGGAGGTAGCATGTCCATCAGTACTGCCTGCAGGGCCACAAAGCCATGAGGATGGAAACGATACCAGTGGATCATCTTACGTCCAATTGCAGGGACAGAAAAGAACTCAGTGGGGCTTTGAAATGTGGTATTTGAGGTATCTTTCTCCTCCACTTCCTTCTTTCCCATGGCAGCTGAGGTGGCGAAGGGCCCGCCTGTGGCAACGAGGCAGGCACGGTTTCCCTGGGGAGCCTCTGGGGCGTGGGTCAGGGGAAGAGCACGTTCTCAGTCGTAGGCACGGCCAGGCCCCTGCTCGGGGGAAGCAGCTCACCCCGGCCTCTCGTGTTGAATTTTTTTAACAAGCTATTTTAACTTTAACTTTTTATTTTAAAATAATTTCAGACTAGTGCTGATTTAACTTATTATAAATACAATGTTACTTAAAATATACAGAAATATAAAAGTAGGTACATGTGGGCCAAACAAATGGAAACATTGAAATGAACAGTGTCACCCTGACGGAGGGTGTTTTGCTGCTTGAACCGTGGCGGGTGCTCGCTGTCTGCTCCGGCAGGTCCCTGGGCCGGTCCCTGGGAAGGTCCCTGGGAAGGTCCCTGGGCCGGTCCCTGGCCATGTGCTATTCCTCTGCCGCACGAGGACCCAATTTCCCCACTGCTTTCTCATTTCTGGTCACCGTAAAACCCGGCCCCTGTGACATCACGTGACCCATACTCGGTACAGACTCACGATTGATCTGTGTTCTATCTCTGCCCATTTCTAATTAGCCCAAGAAAGCAATTTTCCACCTTTTTCATCTCGTGGCACAAATAAACAAGTTACTATATTCTGTGGCACATCAAAAAATAGATTTTTGGCCGATCTGACAAAAAATATAGGTATAATTTTGATTCACTCACATTGGACGGCTATGGTTGTGTTGGCTACAGTCATTTTTTTATTTGGCAATTTAAGGGAAGAGAGGTCAGGGCCCCTGACTAAGTAGTCAGGTACTGCATGTTTTATAAATTATTGTGGCACATGGGTTGAAAATCACTGGCCCGAGACAATAAAAATGGACCTACGAGGTGTCATCAGACCATCAGTGACCACACGCACCATGATTTCACGTGGCAGGATGAGGCAGGTTATCAGAGGTGGCCCTGACAATCCAGAACTGCTTTAATGTTTTCAAAAGATTATCACCAAAATACACACACAAAATTTATACAATTCTCATGCAGAACTCCAGACCCCCAGGAGTTATAGTGTGGACCCCTGAGCCTTGGTTTAAGCTCTGGCTGGCTCAGTTGGTTGGAGCATCATCCTAGATACCAAAAGGCTGTGGGTTCAATTCCCGGTCAGGGCACATACCTAGGTTTTGGGTTCCATATCCAGTTGGGGTGCTTACAAGAGGCAACCAATAGATGTTTCCTCCCCCTTCCCTACATCCTTCCTCCTTCTTCTTTTCCCTCTAAAATCAATAAGCATGTCTTCTGATAAGGATTTAAAAGAAAAGAAACCTGGTTGAAGGGAGCCCTGGACCAGGTGAGAGGGAAGAGGGGAATTCTCCATCCTGCCAAAATGGGGCAGGAGAGACTTCTGCTAGCAGCCCCGGCTATTCCAGAAATTTCTACCTTTGTTATTAGGACCAACAGCATGTTTGCAATCACAGGTAAACAGCGACTGCTAACCTTAAAAACATGCAAATCTGGCATGTCACTTCCACACTGATCCCCAGGCAGGGCTCACAGGAGCTCTCTGACAATGAACAGCCTCCCTGAGTATCACTCACCGCGATGGGGCATCAGGGAGACGAGGGTGTGAAGAGGACTCGCTGACGAGGAACAGTCTGCTCCCTTGTCACAGAAAGAGAACACCTGTCTTTCCCAGCCATGTCTGGTCACTTTCACAAAGCAGAGGTTTGTTGATCTGGTGATTGTCTGAGCTGCGAGATCAATTTCTTTCCTCTTTTACTCCCTTTCTCTCCCTGCTTCCTTTTTTCTTTCCCAAAGGTATTTGAAGCAACCACAGAATGGACATAGGTGCAGTATAAAATTGAAATAGGAAAAAACAAATGCACTAACGATGAGCCTGTGATCAAGGATCTCCCTCGGCTGCGAGCTTCCTAGTAGCAAGGGCAAAAGGGGAAAGGGGATCAATCTTGCTCTTGTGCTCAGAAAGGAGCAGCGTTCCAAATGCCCGGGGTGGAAAGTGTACAAGGTTTTAAGCGACTGAGAAACTTCAGTCAGGCAGGGAGATTCTTGGATTCCGTCTGCTCACTTTGGGGTATTCAGAGGGTTGCTTACCTTAGCTGACTGGACACCAGTGTTACGATTCACCACCACCGAGGGTCTGCAGAATGTTCCAGCATTTACAGAACACTTTCATACCCCATCCCTTTAAAGAGCTCACTGGACCCTCTCCAGAGCCTACTAAAAGGCAGCTCATATTTAACAGACCAGCCCGTACTTCCAACCATATATCATTTCGGGGGGACTGGCTACGGCCAAGTATTAGTACTTGTTAGTGGTTCTAGCCGTCAGCATGTGGACAACACCCAGAGGGCTCGTTAGGATACAGTTTGCTGGGTGCCACCCTGAGTTCCTGATTCGGTAGGTCAGGGATAGGGCCTGAGAATGTGCATTTCTAGCAAGTTCTGAGTGTGCTACTTTGCTCTGGCTCCCACAACAAAATGCCACACATGCTGAGTGGCTGAAACAGAGTCACTTGTGTCCCCACAGTTCTGGAGGTGCAGGCAGGGTTGGCCTCCTCCGGGCCTCTGTCCTTGGCTTGCACACGTCCGCCTCCTTGCTGCCTCTACGTGGCTGTCCCTCTGTGCACGTCTGTGCGGGCGTCTCGTCCTATTCTTATTTATTTTTATGTTTTTAAATTTTTTCCTTTATTGATTTTACAGAGAGAGAAAGTGAGAGGGAGAGAGAGATAGAAACATTGATGAGGCAGAACATTGATTGGCTGCCTCTGGCATGCCCCCCACCGGGGATCGGGCCCACAACCTGGGCATGTGTCCTGACCGGGAATCGAACCGGCGACCTCCTGGTGCATGGGTCAACGCTCAACCGCTGAGCCACCGCAGCCGGACCTCTTCCTCATCTTGGAAGGACACC